ACCATCTACACCCCAAACCATGGCCTCTGATATCAGCCTTAGTGAGTCTTCAACTGGCCTGTTCAAACCTGTGAAAGTGGAAACAAGTTCTGGTTTCAGGCTAACTATGGAAACAAACATAGTTCTTCAGATTATAGTTCTTCTAGTTCTTATAATTCTTCAGAATATGTGAAATATACTTTTGAATGCCCTGTGCTTTTTGACTAAATGGTGTAAAGTATCTACCAGCAGGCGTTTACTCATCCAAGCCAAACTTTGACCTCTTGGTATGCCTACTACTAAATGTCTTTGTCACACAAGTTGAAACTGCACTACTTTTTTGTTAGCGTCACAGTGTTATTTTGTCCTCAGATAACCTGGTAGAAGGAAAGCGGAGATGCAGAGGCAACTCCAGTGGAGCAGGGACCCCTACCCGCAGCTCCAGCAACAGCCCGAGAAACCCTGGGCCTTCTGGGAAACGAAAACTCATCAGCGGCACAGAGGAAGAAAGGACTCCTGCAAAGAGAGGACGCAGGGGGGGAGGGGCCAGAGTGGGTACGGTGCCCCTTGCAGACAGACTTTATTAATTCAACAATATGGACCAAAGCATTTTATTGACTAATTTGGTCTTTTATTGTTCTGGGTTTTTAACAACATTTTATTCATTTTAGTGGCTATGACATTGTTTTACATTTATCTGTAAATGTATTTTAAAATGAACTCAGACGTATGAATGACAAACCGTAGTGCTTTTCTCCCCCATGTTTCCAGTGTTGTATGTAACTGTCAGATTTTACAATGTAAAAACATCTGATAAACCACCTGAAGTTGTGAATATTTACTGCTTTTGATACAACTAAATGGAGTGCAGATCTCCAGCTCTAAACCGCAACTGGTATGTGGCATAACATGCTTTTCCTTTTGTGTGGGTGAGCACTCAACAGGGTTATATGGGAGTGGTGCCTGTTTAATTCCTCACAGTTCATTTTACTTTATGGCCTCTTTGTTACCCAACCATGCCATACTTATTATCATTTGTTTCATTTGAACAGGACAGCGTATTGCTGCTTGTAACACATCTGGGAGCGGAGCAGACCTGCCCCCTGACCCTAATGACCTGGTGGCAACACATGGACCTCTGCCAGAAAACTCTTCTCTCTTTATGGGGTTTGTCTTCATGCTGACGGCATCCTCTGAAACCGACAGAGACTCCAACCACCAGCCAAGTGATGAGGATGAAGGTGAGGGTTAGAACAAATGAAGACTGCATGTGTGATTGGTGTTGAGTGTGCTTTGTTTTTAAGGCTCTGTGCTTTGCTTGTGATATAAAGGTAAGCATCATACAACATATGAAGCAATGATGTTAAGGCAGCAAAATTGGTGTTTAGTATGGTTTGTGGAATGTTGAAAAAATGGCTTGATTTCTAACGCGATTTGTTCTACATTTTTACACTAACTTTCGAAAGAAATTAATGCTTGTATCCTGGCTAAATTAAATTGATCAAAAGTGACAGTAAAGACATTTATAAAGGTTTTCAAATATATGCTGTTCTTTTGAATTTTCTATTCATCAAGAATCCTGAAAAAAATGTATGTTTCCACAAAAATATTAAGCAACTGTTTTTAACATTAATTATAAGAATTAAGAAATGTTTCTTGAGCACCAAATCAGCAGATTAGAATGATTTCTGAAGAATCATGTGACACTGAAGACTGGAGTAATGATGTTGCCATCACAGGAATAAATTACATTTTAAAATGTATTTAAATGCAGGACAGTTATTTCAAATTGTAATAATATTTTGCAATATTTGTCCTTTTTTTTTTAATAAAAAGTATAAATAATTGTAGCCTTGGAGAGTATAAGACTTGGAAGTGTGTGTTTGTACGTAACATGATTCCTAAAACACTTGTTCTCTCTTCTTTCTCTCTTGTTAGAGTATGAGAGAGCGCCATACAACAAACACTATACAGTGAGACAGCTGGAGGCGGGAGGAGGAATGATCCTGCTTGACTTCAATGAAGAACAGGTGAACTCGTATTCAGCACCACTCCTCTCTGTCCTGCAAGAGCTGCACAGCATCCTTTTTTTTTTTTGCTGTGTACGCATGTTTTAAGTGTGTTTTCTGCATCGTCAGTGTAAAGCAGCCTATCAGAGCTTGCTGATTGCCGACCAGCACTGTCGGACCAGGAAGTACCTGCTGTGTGTGGCAGGTGGAGTTCCCTGCGTGTCTCAGATATGGGTGCGGGACTGCTGCCAGGAGAAGAAGCTGGTCAACTATAGGAACTACCTACTTCCTGCTGGTCTGGGGCCAGAGGGACACATCGTGGAGTGGTAAGAGCTTGTCTTTTTTGGATATGACTTATTTTCTCATGTAATATTAATTAAAATAGTTTTTCAAATCCAGCCTTTAGGACTGACTGTTGGCAAACAATCCATTGTTTCGTGGTAAACAACCAGTGTATCTACACGAGTTGCCATAGTAACGAGTTCAGCCGCTGCATGATGCCAAGAAGCTTGAGAGAGTGACTGTGATAGTGGAGAGAGTACTGAAAACTGGACATTTTCAGAACCGAATCAATTCAATAATGTATTTTATACATTCATCCACATTTATGATTTTTGAATGCTGTCACCATTAAATATTGAATGTCACACGAGTGTAAATAAGTGCATTCATACACTGCTGTAAACAGTTTGACTGAAGTCATGTCTCAAATAATGGGGAATGAATGTTTAGACCAAATTGTATTTCCAAAAATCTGAATTTAATTACATTTGAATCCTTCTTCCTGTAGATTTAAAAACTGCTATCAGAAATGCCCCAACTCTTAAGTTGTTTCAACAAATCGTTAAAAACTCAACTTATATTATTATATTTACTTTTTATTTTTATTTAAGTACTTGTTTACTTTTAGATTGTACTGTAGCACTTTTAGTGTGAGATACCAATTATAAAAACTGCATTATTATTATTCTATATGGAATTGTTTGGACTGCTGTTCAGACTTTGAATACAACAACAACAAAGCATATTTTTGCTGCCTGTCTGAACAAAACCTAAAAAAGCCTGAATTGTCTTTTTGTGAATACATTTTTCTTGCTCTGTCCTCAGGCATCCTCGCTCTAACCCTTTTAAAGCTCTGAAGGTGGTGCTCATATCAGAAGATCGTGTTGATTTGTGGACCTCTTTGCTTTCCATGGGTGGTGCAGCAAAAGTTCATCACCATAAAGAAAACGAAGACCTTTCTGGTGGGTAATAGTACACTTAGTTCAATGGAAAAATGTATAGAGCTTTAAAGATGCACAAATAACTTGTGACAAAGGGATTAGAAAACCATATTCAATAGTGTGATGTAAATTTTTGACAGACATTCCAAACATGAAGTTTGACCTGGCAGTGACATCATCTGCATGTCCGTCTGAGGAACTGAAACGACGTGTGGCCCCGGACATGCCTGTTGTCTCTCTGGAGTGGCTGATTCAGAGCTTGATCTGTGGAAAGTGCCTCAGCTATGACAGCGACTCTGAATTCTGTCACAACCCGTCTACGTGAACTGTCGTCCTCTGGTGTCTTCTCACATGTATTTTAAATGTCCTCTGTGTTTTAGTGCATGCATTTTACTGTACATAGTTTTTATGAAATAAAATCATTATTGTTTCACTTGTCTGTTTTATTTCATAACCGAGATTACAAAGCATATGGTATTTACAAATTTTAAGTATTCACGTTCATGGAATAGTTTTACTTTTTTAAAACGGCATAAGATTGCAGAAAAAGCAGGACACAAACTGTGACAATGACAAGAGTCCCATCTTACAATAATTTAAAGGAACACGCCACTATTTTTGAAACAAGGCTCATTTTCTAACTCCCCTAGAGTTAAACCGTTGAGTTTTACCGTTTTCGAATTCATTCAGCCGATCTCGGGGTCTGGCGGTAGCACTTCTAGCTGTAGCTTAGCATAGATCATTGAATCTGATTAGACCGTTAGCATCTCGCTCAAAAATGACCAAAGAGTT